TAATTAGTGGGTAATTATTATCACTAGCACAAATACAAGCAGCATATACAGCTCGAGTGTAAAAGTTCATTATTAGTTGTTCAAGATATTTTCACCTTTCATTTTTAACTAAAATTAATAGTTTATTAGATATATATATAAATATATTAAATATAAAAACATTTATTTTATCTATTTTTTTTCTTACAGTTGTCACCTTGTGTTTTAAATCTGCAAAAATTTTTGATACAATTGGTTGGTCTGCTAGTGTTTTATTACTATTTAAATCTCCATCTACAGCAACTCCAAGAACTATATTGTATTTGATAAGTGTAGGTGTAATTTTTGCAATAGATCTAATTAAATTGGCATGTTCTATTTGTTTGCTACTATTATTGTAATTTCCTTCATTAATCGTAATTGTTTCTCCTTTTTTTATTTTTATAAATTTGAGGTTTTTCTACTAAATGATAAGCTACAATAGGCTTGGAATGATATCCTTTTAATGATTAATAAGTATTATTAAAATAATTGATTTATTTGTTAATATAATTAATTTAGTACTAACCTTCAATATTTCCATTATAGATAAATTTACTACTAGCTTGTGATGCTTCTCGTATATAACTCCATGAATTATTAAAACTAACTTCCAACAAATGTTTATTGTGTGCTTAAATTTGTTCACATGCAGCATGTAAAGCAAAATTCGCACTATTTTCAGCACTTTCTTGAATTTTTTGAAAAAAAGTTTCTTGTTTTTGAAAGTATTATTTTCTTCTACTTTGTTATATAATACCACATGCATATAATATTGTTGTTCATTTTTCTTTATTTACACCTCCAACTAAACCTGCTCCAGTAACAAGCTTTGAATAGTCAATTCCGGCTGTTTCATTTTTATAAAACATTGTTGTAGAACATTTATTATAGGTAATATTAATCTTTACAGAAAATCCACAAGCTGTTATTTGATATTTTTTGGTTGCAATATCAGTATTGAAACATGCTGAACATGGTTGACTAATAATTAATTCAAGAAAAATATTTGTACTAACAAACAAGTTAGAGCCTAATTTGCTTTTAGTAATCATTATATCTATAATTTCTTGAAGTTCAGAAGTTTCACTTGTTATAGATAAAGAATCTTGATCTTTTTCTATATCGCTACTTTCACTATCATTACTATATAATATATAATAATTTATTATTAAAATAATTTATTATAAATTATTTTTATTTTTTATATTACCTTGAATTATCAGATTCATTTTCTAACGATTCTTGTAAGGATATTATTTTATTATATGAACGACGTAATTGTTTTTTAGTATTATTTAGTTGGTTTTGAGTTTTTTTTTATTTTATTACCTAGTGCTTGTATTAAAACTGAATTAATGTTTGATTTTTGTAAATTAAGAACAAGATTTGGTTGATTTTCTTGTTCTATTTCAGTTTTTAAATAATCTGCATCTCTTTTTGCTGATTTGATTATAGTATTCATTTCTTTTTCAGCTTTATAATATTTATATTCTAAATCAAATATATTAAAATATTTTGCTTCAATAAATCCACGTAACTATTTAACATTTTCTGTTGAAGTTAATCCTAATAGATATGGTATTGAAAGATGACCATTATATATAACTGATGGATTATTTTCAATATAGTGTAATAAATCATCTGATTTCTCAAAAGTTTGTTGAGTATTTGATTGATTCTGAAACATACTATCAGTACCAAATTCATTTCATATCCACAATATAATCTGTTTAGTTTCACACCATTCTAGTTCTACTGTACAAAAACAACTACCATAAAATATAAAAACTTTATAACCGAGTATTAAAGAAACAAGTGATTTATTTCGCAAATTTGAATCTATATCAGAAACTTGTAATAGTATATATACAGAATTTTTTTCTTGTATTGCACTTATAAATTGATTATGTTGAGGTAATATACGTAAAAATTTAGGATCTTTACAAACAAAAACTGTTCTATTATATCGAGAATACTTTTGGCGTTGATTGTTCATAAGGAGTAGCTCTTTTGGCCAGTTTCTATTAGTGTTTTAAAAATAGATTTAATAAGAAAAATATAATTACATAATAGTTTTTATATAATAAATATATTTTATCATATTTTATATTCAAAATAAGTTGATATTGAGTAATAAAACGAATATCTAAAAGAGCAAATAAAAATAAATTTATTTTAAATAAGATTACTTCTACATGCGCATTTTTAACATGAGATAAGCAACTTGTTATATATATACGTTTTATATAAAATTAACAAAAACAAGTGAAGTTAAAAGAACTTATGGTCTTTATAATATATAAGTTTTGAGCAAGGCTAAAAAAATAAATTTTTACAAGAAATTATTACTTATAATTATTTATTACTAGTCACAAGTAAGTTACATTACTAAAAATTATCTAGTTTTCATAATTACTACTAATATAACTTATGTGTAATATTGCAGATCGATACCCTACCCTTAATAGTTAGAATAAGTTTATTTAACATTATATAGATATTTTCTAAGACTTCTGTATTGCTTCTTTAAATAGCATTAACAAATCAATAAGCTGATTCATTAATTTATATTTGTTATCTATAATAAGAATCTTTTTTAATTTATTATCATCTTTTTTAATATTTTAATCTACTGATATATATAGGTTGTTTGAAATTAAATAATATATTCTTTAAAAAAAAATTGATTCCAAATATAGTATATTGAGTTTTAACACATTGTAATATTTAAATACAATAAATAATATCAATATAACTAAGCTTATTTGTATTTCATTTAGTTGCTTTATTTGGTTATAATACTAAAAAGATTAAATTAATCTTCCTGTATATATAACTAAAACTTCTACTAATGCAAATCTTTTTCAATTACTAATTAAAGCATATAAACTATATACAGGAGACATTTTTCTATATTCATCTTTTTGGTTTAATAAAGAAAAAACTGTGATTATATTTTTATTATTATCAATAGTAATTAATATTATACAATATTTCAGGACAATTTTTCTAATGATCTTCTGGTTAATAACAACAGCAAACCGAACTACAGAAAAATGATATAGAAACGTTCAAGAAAGATACTTCTCAGTCTTACCTTAAAGTAATACAGTTGTGGACGAAGCTTAAAGACATGAAATACCGAGAAGCGGACATACTTTAGGTAGTTTTTCTTAGGATCAAGCCTTCTTTTGCTTAGAGGTAGACTCCTTAAGTTATTTAACATTTAAACTAGAAGGGTTTTCTGAGAACTGATATTACTTAAGTGTAAATTATTGTCGATGAAGTCTAGAAGACGTGATACACCGAAGAGTGGATATAACTTGGACAGTTTTTCTTGAGGTCAAGTTTTTGCTATATTGGACAGACTCTCTAAGTTATTCAGTATTCAAACCAGAAGGACTATTCTAAAAACAAGTAGTAGTTAAAAGATTCTCGCTGAGATAGTTAAAATTTGAAGAATTGCCTATATAACTGTAAAACTTACAGAAGAACCTCACATATTCTTATTGACTCTTTACTTTTTTTTTGAGAAAAATTTTGTAAAAAAGTAGGCGACTTAGCTTACCCTCTCCAAAAGATCAATATATTGTTTACTTACCAAATCAGTTAGCATTGTTTACTTTTTCTTGTCACAATAAACACGTGGATATGCATAGAACATGAACATGTGGATTATGTGCCTTGGAAGTAGCAATTCAAATAAACAATGCTTTAAGACTAATAATGAACTTTTACACTCGAGCTGTATATGCTGCTTGTATTTGTGCTAGTGATAATAATTACCCACTAATTA